CCCAGGTCAATATCTGCTGGAAGTATACTGCTTTGCTTTTTCCTTAGCTAAATAGACACTTTCAAATTATAATTCACATGAATTATATATCCACTGAAAAACCCCGGTTGGCATCAAACTTTATATTTTTAATTAAACTTTAAACTATGCGCGCACCGAAAGAACCCGCGATGATAGCAAAACTGAAACTGTGACAAACAAGTATGGACATGTCATACCACACATGGCGCAGCGATCGACATGCCATAGCTTACTGAGCGCTCTGGGACCACATGCGTATTTCACCCATATACGAACAGCGGTAGCGGAGCAATGATTTCCACGCACAATGCAATGGTCGGCATACTAGCGCATTCAAACGATTCAATAAGTGGGACTGTGTGCATTGCTCAGCTGGCGCTCTTCGTATGTGCTCAGAGAGCGCTCGGCATTCTTTAGGGGTGGCTCACAAGCATGAATATGTTCCACTCTCAAACCAATTCGTGGTTGCCTCAACTAAGATTTGGTAACTATGAATAAACCACGTGTTGAAAGAAAGCTTATCTGCATTAGCAGAGCTTAATAACATCCTTTTATGAACCATACGTTAAGTTGAATGGAATTTGTAGAAATATGCTTCAAAGAAATATTTATTAGTATTAACCAAACCCTTCAACTAAATTAACGATTTGTTACAACCTAGATGAATATTAGAAGCTTTAATATATTTAGTTATAATTACCAATCGATGGTAATAGTTCCCAATCCTTGGTAACAGTTCCCAAATATTGTCAAAATTCGGGAACTAAATATCTTTAGTTGTCGAAACTAATCCTTTTTCTCAGTGTAGTACTGCTTGTTTATGTTTTTCTTTTTATCGGAACATATTTTGTTTGAGTACTTTTTTCATGTATACAGTGCTCAAAATTTTCACTTCTCTTCCTTCCATGCCCTCTTTGTTAAAGTATGAGTAGTTTACATATTTGAAAAAAACTTCACAGTGAAGCAAACTGAATTCCGATGCAGACCTTTAATAAAAAGAATCTCCTCAGATGGCAAAACAGTTTAAGCTTAACAAATCTGCAGAAAAATATTTAAAAATATTTTCAACGCAATCGTATTAATGAGATTTTTGATGGTGTTTTTTTTTAACTTTTTTCAAATATTGATTTATGAAAAACTTGAATAACTAGGCCAAAACTACTCCGATTTAGACTTATGTTGTCTCAGTAGAAAGGCATTTTCCCACTCTTTATTTCTGTTTCTCATTCACGTCCGATTTTTTTTCCAAATACCAACACATCTTGGAATAACGCTCGTTTATCCTACCTTTCTCTTTCATCATTTGAATGAGTTTATTAGCAAAGAAAATGTTTTTAAATTTTGTAAAAAATATTTTTATGCAATTTTTATAAGCTTAAACCGTTTAGTCGTTTGAGGGGATTTTTTTTTTT